CCCCCCGTTCGGGTCCCCGCGTCTCACCAGGTTGCTTCGTCCCCCCAGGTGTCTGTGTCGTGTCAGGTTCCTACGTCTGCTCCAGTCGCTGCGTCGTGCTCCTGCCGGTCGCTTGCCCACCCCACCGTTCTGTGGCACCACCGGATGGGGCACCCGTCCCTTCCTCGTCTGCGCGCTATGTCTAGTCAGCGTCTTGTCCTAGGCCTCCCACGTGTCTTGCCGTCGCTGCCGCCTTCGCTTGCGCCGCCGTGTGGTCCCTGCGTCGAGGGTCGGCTGCGCGCCGCCCCTCACTCCTCCTCCCTTCGTCCGGCCACCGAGCCTTTTGAGACGCTTCACTTGGACGTCTGGGGCCCCGCCCCTCGTCTAGGCCCTGAGCGTGAGCGCTACTTTTTGGTGGTCGTTGACGACTTCTCCCGCTACACCACAGTGTTCCCACTGGCGAAGAAGTCTGAGGTGACTTCTACGCTGATCAGGTGGTTGCTCACCACCGAGGACACTCGTGGTCGTCGTGTCAGCTGCCTCCACTCCGACCGTGGGGGTGAGTTTCGCTCCGGCATTCTCGCTGGATTCTGTCGCGAGCAGGGCATTCGTCAGTCCTGGACGCTTCCAGAGTCCCCACAGCAGAATGGGGTTGCTGAGCGCCGCATAGGCCTGGTCATGGAGATCGCCCGCACCTCCCTGACTCACGCCTGTGCCCCCCATTTTCTGTGGCCCTACGCGGTCAGGTACGCCGCGCACCAGCTGAACCTCTGGCCACGTGTCTCTCGACCAGAGGTTTCACCGACCAGTCTTTGGACAGGGTCCCCTGGTGTTGCGTCGCGGTTTCGTGTCTGGGGGTGCTTGGCTCTTGTCCGCGACACCTCCGCGGACAAGCTCTCGCCTCGTGCCGTCCCCTGTGTCTTCCTTGGTTTCCCTGAGGACTCCTCTGACTTCACCTTTTACCACCCTCCCTCTCACCGGTTCTTTGACTCCCGTGACGTCCGTTTCGAGGAGTCCACTCCGTACTACGTCAGGTACCCCAGTCGAGGTCTCCAGGTTCCTCCTCCCCCCCTCTTCCTGACTGCCGCTCCCCCTCCTGTTCCCCCGGTACAGCCTCCCCCCCCTGGTCCAGCCCCGTCGGGTGTGTCCCAGGCTACCCCTCCTCCTTCGGTAGCTCCTCCGGTACAGCCTCCCTCCCCACAGTCCTCCTCGCAGCGTGCCGCAGGTGCTAGCTCTCGAGAGGTTGGTGCTGCGCCTGTTCCTGTACCGGTTTTTGGTTCTGGGGGTGGTGGAGTTGGAGCTGGAGTTGGAGCTGGAGTTGGCACTGGAGTTTCTGGTTCTGGGGGTGCTGGGGTTGGAGCTGGAGTTGGAGTTGGAGTTTCTGGTTCTGGAGTTGGAGCTGACCCGGTGGGTGCAGAGGACTCTTGTCGTCCGGGAGCTGGTGCTGGTCGCGCGGACACTGGGGGTGAGAGTGCGCCTCCTTCGGGTTCTGGTGAGCCTGGGTCTGGAGCTGGTGTTAGTGCTGCCTCTGGGGGTGGTGCGCCTGGTTCTTCGGGGGTGGACTCTGGAGCTACCGCTGCTTCGGACACTACTCCGCCCCCCCACCCCTACCCGACTAGGCACCAGGCTCGTGTTCGCCGTGCCCGTGACGAGCAGCTGGCGTTGGAGAGAGAGGAGAGGGAGTTACAGCGGCTGGAGGAGCAGCAGCAGCAGCTGGAGCCGCAGGAGGAGCAGCAGCAGCAGCAGCAGCAGCTGGACCCGCAGGAGCAGCAGTCCCAGCAGCAGCCGCTTCCGCAGTAGCAGCAGTCGCAGCAGCAGCAGCAGCAGCCACTTCCTCCTCCTGTCTCGGGTCTTCGGACCCTTGGTCTCCCCTCCCCTTCTCCTCCCTCCTCCGCCTCTCCTCCTGTCTACGGTCCCACGTTTCCTCCTCCTGACTCCTCCCCCGCTGTTTTCCCCAGTTCTCCGCCTTTGTCCTCTCCTCCTCCGTCTCGTTCTTGGGCTACTCGTCGCTCCCCTCGTGCTCGTCCCTCGTCTCCTGTTCCCTTCACTGACCTTTGTACTGCCTTCCTTCTTTCTAGTCCACCTCGTCCGTCTCAGTCTGTGCTTCCGTCTCCTCCTGAGTCGGCCCTCTCTGTGTCGCTCCCTACTCCTGTCACTGACTACTACCGCACGTACCGTCCTGTTCTCTCTCGTGTTCTCGCCTCTCTTGTTACTCACCCTCGCGCCTCTGTGTCCTCTGTGTCCGCTCTTACTGCCGCAGTTACTGACTTTGCCTCTACCCGCCGCCTTGACTACGCCACCACGCTTGTGGCTGCTCCTCCTACCAGTCCTCTGGTCGTCGGGGGTGTGTCTGCCCTTGGCTGTGACGCCCTAGAGGACAGGCAGTTTGAGCTAGAGTTCCTGGCGGCCACTTCCCCTCATCTCTGTGCCATGCTCCTCGCCCCTGAGGGTGACCCCGACGCCCTTGACATTCCGACTCCTCGCACTTACGCTGAGGCAGTGTCAGGGCCTTGGGCCTCTCAGTGGAGAGCTGCCATGGACGCAGAGATGGCTTCCTACAGATCCACAGGCACCTACGTCGATGAGGTTCCCCCCCCTGGGGCGAACGTAGTCGACGGCATGTGGATCTACAGGGTGAAGCGGCCACCGGGATCTCCCCCGGTCTTCAAGGCTCGCTACGTGGCTAGAGGTTTCAGTCAGCGCGAGGGAGTTGACTTCTTTCAGACCTTCGCACCTACCCCGAAGATGACCACTCTTCGGGTGTTACTACACGTAGCAGCACAGAGAGACTACGAGTTACACTCTCTCGACTTCTCCACTGCTTTCCTTCAGGGCAGCCTACACGAGGAGGTCTGGTTGCGTCGTCCCTCGGCCTCACTGGCACCTTCCCTCCTGGGACCCAGTGGAGGCTGAGGCGACCTGTTTACGGTCTTCGCCAGGCCCCTCGTGAGTGGCACGACACTCTGCGTTCTACCCTCTCTGACCTTGGGTTCCAGCCGTCTTCTGCCGACCCGTCGGTGTTCGTTCGTCGTGGCTCCACACCGTTCTTTGTTCTGGTTTACGTCGACGACCTCGTTTTCGCCACTCCGGACAGGGTTGCTTTGGCAGACGTGAAGTCCGAACTGCAGAAGAGACACACGTGCACTGATCTTGGTGAGCTGCGCCACTACCTTGGCCTCCAGATCACCAGGGACAGAGCCGCTCGCACCATTACACTCTCACAGTCACACATGGTGCAGCAGGTCCTTCAGCGGTTCGGGCTTCAGCACTCCACCGTACAGCGCACACCTCTCGCTGTTGACCACAGACTCACTGGTCCCTTCCTGACGAGCCGTTTGAGCCTAGTGGTCCCTACGCAGAGCTTGTGGGTTGCCTCATGTACCTGATGACTTGTACTCGCCCGGACCTCGCCTTCCCTCTCAGCATCCTTGCGCGCTTTGTTGCGCCAGGGAGACACCGTCCTGTTCACTGGACGGCAGCTGTGAGGGTGGCGAAGTACCTAGCGACTACATCAGGCGTGGGGCTAGTTCTTGGAGGGCAGCAGTCTGTCGTACTCACTGGTCACTGTGACTCCTCTTACGCTGACGACGCTGAGACTCACAGGTCTACTCAGGGGTACTGTTTCAGTCTGGGTTCTGGAGCTGTTTCCTGGCGTTCCACGCGCTCCTCTTCTGTCTCGACCTCTACAGCTGAGGCTGTGATTTACGCTGGTGCCATGGCGGCACAGGAGTTGCGTTGGTTGACCTTCTTGCTCGCCGACCTTGGTGAGCGGCCGAGCTCTGCACTGACCTTGTGCACTGACAACAAGGCGTCGATCCTCCTCTGTCGTGAGCCGCGACTGGAGAGCAGAGTGAAGCACATTCACGTCAGGTACTTTCTTCTGCGAGAGTTGCAGAGACGTGGACAGGCTCGCTTCGAGTTTGTGGAGTCTGAGGCCAACACTGCAGACATCTTCACCAAGGCGCTTCCGCCTCGTGACCACCAGAGGTGTTGTGTGCAGTTAGGCCTTGTTGACACAGGTTCTAGTCATGTGTAGGCTTGAGTTTATTGCCTGCTTCGTCTGTACTCTTACTATATATACTTGTGATCTCTTGGACTGGCCTTGTGGCCACTGTTGCTTGTGCTCAGAAAGTGTGGTGACGTTGTGATCCACCCTGAGCTTTGTTTTCTTTTGGACTGGTCTTGTGACCGTACTCTTTTTTATTTTGCTAGACACCCCTCACTTAGGCTATGGGGGTGTGTCAAATGTTGTAGCCTGTAGTGAGGTTTGTCTTAGGGGGTACAGAAGTTAGGGTTTGTTATATGTACCCCAACCAATATCAATGGCATCATCATTCCTCATTTTGACAGTTACCCGCCGAGCCGTGAGGTCGGGGTTCTACGTGTGAAGGTGGCGGGCGGATTGTAGATGCGAGGGTTGCGAGTGGTAACGGTGCTGACTGTGGTGCTATAGTGATGTACGCGTTGGGATGCGAAGTAAGGAGAAGGAATTTTCCTTACAAACCTGGAGCCTCAACTATTTCGAGTGCTCCCGATTTCCGAATATCAAGCAGCAACACCCCTGGAAATCTCCATTTCCGAGGAATAAGATTCCTGGGATTTCTAGTTTCTCCAGACCGCTGGTAGTAAGCACGGAAGCGTGCAGGCGTTAAGGCTGCATTTCTGACGCATCGTTGCGTCAAGATCTATTGTTTTCGCCAGTTATACCCGCGGAAGTGGGAGCGAGTAGTCGGACGGGTTGTCGTTGACGGTTATTTCACGGCAATTGAAGTCAAATTCCATTGTGTCATCGAGTCCACAAATTCCTAGGCTTTACAGTTTACGTTTCAGGACTGAGTCGGTTTGATTGGTCGCTCTCACAGGCTCATCGTCATGTTGATCTTCATAGAAGCTTGTATTAGATGATCTCGCTTGGGGTTTCTACGTAACGCTAGAGTAATCGAGAGTAGGCTCGGGAAGTTCAGTGCGCTGTCGATCTATCAGTTGGATTCAGGCGCCGGTGTCGTGCCGCGACTGTGAGGATGCCGGGAGAGATTGTAACGCTTCAGGTCGGGCAGTGTGGTAACCAGGTTGCGAGCGAATTCTGGCGACAGCTGTGCTTGGAGCACGGCATCGGGCTGGATGGCAACCTGCAGGACTTCGCGACGCAGGTACGGCGGTTTCGATTTGACCGTTGATGAGATGACCGTTGATCGGTTGGCGATTCAGGGACTTACTTGTTATATCAAGTGGAAGACGAGCACTACATCCCGCACGCCTCCCCCCGATCCGTTTCCGCCCTTCCCCCCATTTCTCCTTTTCCCCTTTTCCCCGCCATTATGGCGACGTTCGGAAGGACGTGTTCTTACATCCCGCGCTCCTTCTGCTCGGTTTCCCTCTCTATTCCTCCCCCCCCTTCTCCGCACACTATCACAACCAGGGCGACGATCGAAAGGACGTGTTCTTCTATCAGGCGGACGACCAGCACTACATCCCGCGCTCCGTTTTACTAGACCTAGAGCCGCGCGTGGTGAAGGGCATCCAGGCGGGCGAGTTCCGCGCGCTCTTCAACGCGGAGAACGTGTATGTGGCGGAGCACGGGGGGGGCGCGGGGAACAACTGGGCGAGCGGGTTCGACCAGGCGCGCGCGCAGCAGGAGGCGATTATGGAGATGATCGACAGGGAGGCGGAGGGCAGCGAGAATCTGGAAGCCTTCTACCTCTGCCACTCCGTGGCTGGAGGCACTGGGTCAGGTGAGACGAGGCACTGGGTCAGGTGAGACGAGGCACTGGGTCAGGTGAGACGAGGCACTGGGTCAGGTGAGACGAGGCACAGGTTCAGGTGCGGCAAAGAACAAATTGACCACGTGTGTGCTGTGCAGCAGGAGGCGATGATGGAGATGATTGACAGGGAGGCTGAGGGCAGCTAGATTTTGGAGGCCTTCTACCTCTGCCATTCTGTGGCCCGAGGGACTGGGTCAGGTGAGACGAGGCACGGGGTGAGGAGAGAAAATACCTTTAGCCAACCAGGCGCGCGCGCAGCAGGAGGCGATCATGGAGATGATCGATAGGGAGGCGGAGGGGAGCGAGAATCTGGAAGCCTTCTACCTCTTTCTTTCTGTGGCTGGAGGCACTGGGTCAGGTGAGACCAGATGATGAAGGCGAGGCGGAAGGGAGTGAGGCAATAAAGGTAAGGTATCTGCTCTTGGGGCCCGACCAGGCACAGCAGGAGGCGATCATGAAGATTATCATCAGGGAAGCGGAGGGTAGCGAGAAATTAAAATCCTTTACCTCTGCAACTCCGTGGCTGGGGGGACGGGGTCAGGTGAGACAAAGAAATGGCATGCTTGGGGAGAAAAGTATGACGCTTGCCTCTTTTCCCCAAGATTCAGCATGTGTGTTCCTTTTCCCTGATCTTCTCTCCCACCCCGTACAGGCATGGGCTCATACCTCTTGGAAGAACTGCATGAAACAGGAAAACAAAGAGAAAGAGAAAGAGAACCTGGATATGCCGAAGAGGGAAGTAGTAGGGAGCACACTGTAGGTCTGCCCGAGCTTTTTGTGGTCATACCTCTCGGGCTCCAAGAAGCTCATGCAGACCTACAGCGTGCTCCACTGCTTTCCTCTTTGGCATATCCGAGTTCTTTCCCTCTTTCTCTCTCTTCCCCTGTTTCATCCTTTACAGGCATGGGGTCATATCTTTTAAAAGAGCAGCACAATTGCTACTCTAAGAATCCCGTGCAGACCTACAGCATGTTCCCCAATGATCGCCTCTTCTTTCCAGGGTTTTCCATGAGCTCTCTCTTCTCTATATTCACCTGTCTCATCCCTTACAGGCATGGGGTCGTATCTCTTGGAAGAACTGCACGACCGATACCCTAAGAAGCTCGTGCAGACGTACAGCGTCTTCCCGAACCAATCAGAAACGTCTGACGTGGTGGTCCAGCCGTACAACTCGCTGCTGACCCTCCGCCGGCTGACTCAGCACGCGGACAGCGTGGTTGTCCTCGACAACACAGCACTGGATAGAATCGCCGCCGAGAGATTGCGGCTGCACCAGCCGACGTTTGCCGAGACGAATTCTCTGGTGGCGATGGTCATGGCTGCGAGTACTAATACCATTCGGTATCCGGGGTTCATGAGCAATGATCTAGCGTCCATGGTGTCGTCGCTCGTGCCCACGCCTCTCTGCCACTTTCTGGTTTCCAGCTACACGCCCCTGACTGTGCAGAGGCAGGTGCGTGCATGTGTGGGTGTGTGTGTGTGCGTGGCCTTCTGTCTGTCTGTCTGTCTGTGTTTGTTTGTCTCACATGTATCCAATGTGTTTTCATGTGTTTTTAAAATGTGCATATCAGATGTGTGTTTTCTCATGTGTGTGTGTGTGTGTGTGTGATGTGCTGCTGCATGCACTGCAGGAGAACGTGATTCGCAAGACATCAGTCTTTGACGTCATGAGGCGGCTGCTGCAGGTAAGGTGGGAGGAGGTAAGGTGGGGGGAGGTAAGGTGTACGGAGGTAAAGTGTGAGGAGAAAAGGTGTTACAACGCTATGTGCAAGACATCGGTCTTTGACAACAAGAGGTGACTGCTGCATGTAGGGTGCGGGGAGGTTATGGTGGTAGGAGGTGAGGGGAGGTTATGATGATAGGAGGTGAGGTGTAAGGTGTGAGCAGGGAAATTCTTGGACTTCAGTCATAAGCTTTCGAATTTAGGCCATTGCCTGAGCTTTTTCAAGTTTTGGCAGCATCAGCCACTGGAGACGAGGTGTGGTGCATCCAAGTCCAATTTTCGCTTCATCCCACATCATCTGTTCACCTGTTTGCCTGTTCTCCTCATCACCTCTCTCCTTTCTTCCCCAACAGCCGCAGAACTGGATGGTTTCGTCTCACTACGGCCGAGCGCGGGACGTGAGTGCCGCCCGGTACATGGCGATTCTGAACGTGATTCAAGGGGAGGTGGATCCAGGGGAGGTGAACAAGAGCATGCAGCGCATCCGAGAGAAGCAGGCGGCTTCGTTCATCGAATGGGGCCCTGCCAACATCCAGGTGCGTGTGAGGCAGCACCCGGCATACTCTGAGAGCACGTTTGAGCCTGCTGCATTGACCATGCGTTGACCAACTGTGGAGTTGCCAAGGTGCAGGCGCATAGTAGCTGGTGGTTGGGGAGTAGGGAAAGGAGGAGGTTACTCAATGAGCATGGTTCAGGGGGAGGTGGATCCGGGGGAGGTGAACAAGAGCATGCAGCGTATCAGAGAGAAGCAGGCGGCTTCCTTCATTGAATGGGGCCCTGCAAATATTCAGGTGCGTGTGATGCAGCATCCAGCATACGTTGGAAGCAGGCTCTGATCAACTCTGGAGTAGCCAACCTATAGGTGGAGATTAGCTAGTTGTTGGGGAGTAGGAAAGGAGGGAGGTTGCATTCTAAACGTCGTCCAGGGGGAGGTGGATCGGGGGGAGGTGAACAAGAGCATGCAGCGTATCCGAGAGAAGCAGGCGGCTTCCTTCATCGAATGGGGCCCTGCGAATATACAGGTGGGTGTGAGTTGGTGGTTGGGTGTGTGAAGCAGCATTCCGTGAGGAGTAGGCTGGAAGGGGACGCTTAGGTGCCTTGGTGACGTTTGAGTCATCTCAGCCAACATACAGGTGCGTGTGAAGGAGATTAGTGAAGTACCTACTTGGCACTCGGGGATTAGTCAAGTACCTACTTGGCACTCGGGGATTAGTCAAGTACCTACTTGGCACTCGGGGATTAGTCAAGTACCTACTTGGCACTCGGGGATTAGTCAAGTACCTACTTGGCACTCGGGGATTAGTCAAGTACCTACTTGGCACTCGGGGATTAGTCAAGCACCTACTTGGCATTCGGGGATTAGTCAAGTACCTACTTGGCACTCGGGGATTAGTCAAGTAGGAAGGAGGGTGGGTGCATTTTTTAATGTCATCCGAGGGGAGGTGGATCCGGGGGAGGTGAACAAGAGCATGCAGCGCATTCAGGAGGAGCAGGCGGCTTCCTTTGTTGAATGCTGCCTCGCCAATATACAGGTGAGTAAGCGCCATGAGGAGTAGGCTGGACGACTGAGCATTTGCTGCGTTTACGACTTCTGAGTCGGCTCTGCCAGCAGTACTTTCTAAGAAATCTCAGCAGTAATTTTGAAAGGGCGCTTCCAGCACAAACTCTAAGAATTCTAGTTTTGAGGCGCCTCAAAACTAGCAGTACTTTCTAAGAAATCTCAGAAGTAATTTCGAAAGGGCGCTTCCAGCAGTAATTCTAAGAATTCTCGAATGTAATTCCCGAGTGGCTCTGCCAGAATTGTGGTGCGTATGAGCTGCATATGTCCCACTTCGTCTGTCTCACTCTCTCTCTCCCACACTCATCCTGCGGCCCTCCCAGGTGGCTCTCTCTCGCAAGTCGTCTTACGTGCAGATGGGGCACAAAGTGAGCGGGCTCATGCTGGCCAACCACACGGGCATGTGAGATGATTACAGAGTCCCCTCAAATACCACGTTCTCCTCTGTCACCACACACCCCTCCCAGGTGGCCCTCTCACGCAAGTCCCCTTACGTGCAGACGGGGCACAAAGTGAGTGAGCTCATGATGACCAACCACACGGGCATGTGAGAGGCATGGGAGACAACTGGTCGAGTCAACTGAGAAAACGCTCTTTGTTTCCCCGTTGCCACACATCCCTCCCAGGTGGCTCTCTCGCGCAAGTCCCCTTACGTGCAGACAGGGCACAAAGTGAGCGGGCTCATGCTGGCGAACCACACAGGCATGAGGCACCTGTTTGGGCGCTGTGTGAAGCAGTATGAGAACATGCGCCGCAAGTCCGCCTTCCTCGAGCCCTACAAGCAGTTCTCCATGTTCTCTGTGAGTCATGTGTGAGGGTGTGTGTGTTTGAGGCGCCGAGACACTGGACTGGCCAATCCGGGCATGCGGCACCTGTTTGGGTGCTGCGTGAAGCAGTATGAGCCTGCAAGTCCTACTCCCTCGAGCCCTGCAAGCAGTTCTCCATGTTCTCCGTGAGTCCTGTCCCCTGTGTTCCTTGCACAAAATCAGCTAGTTTTCTCCTTTTGCATGCCTCTCCATCGCCCTGTTTTTGCTTGTGTGCTTGAGGCAGTCTTGTTTGTGTATGGATATAATAGCTGCTGAACCCCAGCATCTCAATTGGGTGAAGAAGGGTTGCTTTATTTGGAAAATACTACCTTGCTCATCTTCCCATACTTCCACTTCCCACGCATAGGACAACCTGGTGGAGTTTGACGAATCACACGAGGTGGTGCGGTCAATGATTGACGAGTACCGCATGTGTGAGACATCCGATCCACTTGCTTACGAGTTTGAAGGTGCGGCAGCATAACGAGGGCGAGTGGAAGGAGTGGGGTATTGGGCCTTTTTTCCGGCCTTAGCGCGCGTGAGCATTGTGGCGGCTGCACTACTTGTGCACCGTGTTGATATATGTTCCGCGCAAGGTGCCAAATGATTTCTCAGTATGTTTGCTGCCTTGTACAGTAACGTTTAGCACTTGAAAGTTTGTTTCTTTCTAAGTTGTTATCAATTGTTTTATATGGTTATACGTGTGTAGATTTTGTCGGTTATAGTCATAGATGCAACTCCGGCTTTGAAACAGCCCAGTCGCGGCACGTCCTAGTAAGCTTCTGCGAAGCTTCAGAGAGGCATCGAAGAAGCTCCATTGTGAAAGACGTCGCTGTCGTGTAGTAGGTGAGAGAGAGCTGCCGTCAAACTAGGTCATGTGACTGACGGCCATGTGGGGCTCTCTAGGTCAATCATTATCGGATCCATGTCAGCCTTCCGCTTCTTCTGCGGAAGCGGAATCGTGCACCACACGGAGGTGTGCTGGACCGCGTAGAACTAGGGAGGCGACACGTCTTCATCGGGATTTCTTCGCTGGCCACTCTGACCGCACACATTATTGCCCACAAAAATGCTGCCCGTCGCAGACTGTCCGTCAGCAACTTCACTTTCCCGCCACCCTGAGACGAACCCTCCGTCAAATCTGGTTGGGTCCAGGGCGGTGCAGTTTTTCTTCTGCTAACGTCCTTGCGACAAGGGCAGTAATCGGGGCCATCATCACCTGCCGCATCGCACAGTCATCTCTGTTCTCGGTTCCACTCCAAACAGTACGAAATCGTCTCTGGGAAACCTCTGAGTCGCCGACAGTCTGCAGTCAAGCTAGCGACTCGTCCAGGCACCTGACGGTCGCTTGGCGATTGTCGTGCCTTCTTTTATTCGCTCGGCGATCCTCTTGGATTCTGTTCCGTCGCACCTCCCACCCGTGCTCCTGTGGGTGGGATCTCCCCTCTTTTATACCGTCGCCGATGCCTACGAGGCGATTGTCGCAAATGCTCGCGAGGGCGACTCTTTCGGTGGCATGTGCTTGGTAGAGCTGGGCAGAGATCCCAAGTGCGATGCCGTCGCCGTGTTGTTTGTTCGCCCCTCGTCTTCTTGTCGCGTTGCGTCGTCGGTCCCATGCCCTCCTGCGACTGCGACTGGGTAAGAACTGTGCAGCTGGAGCTCAGGGAGGGCTGGATTCTCCCTCTTCCCCCCTAACAGCTGCAGCACGAGCGAGCAGACTCCCTCCCTCTCACCCATTCCACAACCTTCCCATCTTTTCAACCTTCACTGTTGGCAGAGCTAGGGTTCATGATTCATGAACTAGAAGCGTGAGAAGTTTTTATTACCCCTTCCACTAGCACCAGCTGTTACCATAAGGCATTTTATTTATTAGGTCTCTGATAGTGTGGTAAGACCACTTAATTTATAGAGCCTGCTTATACCACTTTATTTATAGAGCTTAACTGAGGAAGCACCACAAGCACCACAGGTCTTCAAGGGATAGAGAAGTTGTGGTCTTCTTAGTATAGAAACACCTTCTGAGTAATCGGGGTTTTGAGGTTCAGCGATGGTCCGCTTCCCGTTTGACCTAGATTGCGGATGGGTACTGCATCAGCGTACAGGACGGCTAGAGGATGCTTACACCTTAGAGAAGGAGCTGGGTCGTGGACATTTCGGGATCGTCAAGCTTTGCAGAAAACGTTCCGGAGGCGGACAATACGCATGCAAGTCGATTGACAAGTCTAAACTCTCGCACTGGTTAGTTCCTATTCCCACGCCTTCTGTCGTTTTTTGTTTATGCTTATTTACGAATGGAGCAGGAACATCGTGTTGCTCTTGCGCCATCGTTAACTAGCAGTGCTGACTCAACTCCTTGGTTGTTCGCTTGCTTGCTTCTTTCTTCAGGGAGGATAAGGAAGATGTTCGCAGAGAAATCGAGATCATGCGAAGACTTTCTGGGAACCCGTACACGCTGAACCTGGAGGACGTTTTCGAGGACGACAGCTTCGTCCATCTAATTATGGAGCTTTGCGAGGGTGGTGATTTATTCGACGACATCAGCAGCCATGGCTTTATGACAGAAGCACAAGCAGCAGCAGTCTTTGAGGAGATTGTCCTTGCCGTTATGCATTGCCATGAGCACGGCGTTCTACACCGCGACTTAAAACCGGAAAATATCCTTCTTGTACAGAGATCAGGCGTTAGGGAGCAAGCGGGAACAGATGACTGCAAGTCGCCTTCAAAATGCTTCTCATTGACGCCGAGGGTCAAGCTTACTGATTTCGGGCTTTCTCTCTTCGTGGACGCTCACAAGCAGGTTTACGGTGTCGCTGGAAGCCCGTTCTACCTCGCTCCAGAAGTTTTATCCGGAAATTACGGCCACGAAGCAGACATCTGGTCTCTTGGTGTCATGCTGTACATGCTTCTCTCGGGTTCAGCTCCTTTCTTCGGGGAATCGGAGGACGAGGTCCTCGCAGCCGTCAGGCGTGGAAAGCTTTCGTTTTACCGGCCGATTTGGGGGTCAATCTCGCCGTTCGCGAAAGACCTGATTCGGTGCCTGCTCCGGCAGGATCCAGCAAAGAGACCGACTGCTAGCGACATACTCCAGCATCCGTGGTTCACCGAGGTGTTCCGATCGCAGCAGCAACAGCAACAGCAGCAGCAGTCAGCGCAGGAGCTGCAGAACGAGCATTCCGAACAGGTGGTAGATAGCTTAGAAACCGATACATCGATCGACAACGCAAGCCAATGCATGTGTACAGGCATTGCCCACTCTTCCCCCAGTCCCGCCATGCACTCGCAATCCCACCTCCCCAGCTCGCCCGTCTCTCATCTCCAATGCTCAGCCGAGTTCAGCCCCGTGGTTTCCAGGAAGCTACCGCATGCTTCCCCGCAAACCCCGCCGAGGTTGGAGCTCGAGACTCATACCAGCTTGCTGTGTGCGAGCTCACGGCTAAGCCTCTCTTCGTCTCTCGCCTCCTCGTCGGTGGAAGAAGGGTCGGTAGAAACAGACGGAGCTAGATCGGAGCAGATTGAAGGTTCGGAATCGGTCGCAGGGGAAGCAGCAGCAGCAGCAGCAGCGGGCGTTCAGGAGGAGCCGCTGAATGTGGTTCCTTCGTTGTGGGGTCTGTTTGGAGGGTATAATCCGATTGTGAAACCGGAGGAGATAGACGCTTCAGATTTGGTAGCTTCAGAAGGATCGTTGGCGCAAACGCCGCAGCTGCTCTCCTGCAGCGTGTGGGGTCGGAGTCAGGCTACCGACGCTGTTGAAATCGACTGGGTGTTCGGCTTTTGAAGAAATCTGACGAATCGTCTTTTGACAAGAATACCAGTACATTTTTACGGAATGGGTGATGCATGGCGATATCTCTCATACGCAGCAGCAAACGCAGGTGCAGCCAATCATACAGCCTATCATGCAACAGCAGCATACAGCCCGCATCAGATGGTCAGCCGGACAAGAAGACCACCAGAGCAGCAGACAGGCACGAATCCTGGGCTGCATAAGGTTCAACAGGCGTTTAACTTATATAGTGTGACAACTCGTTTGTACTCTATGGGGCGTGGAGGTTTTGTCGACATGGTATCAGGTTCACATGTGCTGTAGGTCAAGTGCTAACAGCAGGAGCTTACCCACAAGAGGAGGAGCCCTGCAGCATTTATGGCGCTGGCGTAGCTTATGTTATTCCTTATTGGTGCCAATCAGTGTTCTACTGTAAGCCTAAATTATGTGTGGTAATATTCAAAGCCTGAAGTCAGCATGGTAAAAATGCAAACTTTTTGAAGTTTAGGTATGCGGTTTTGTTAGTAATGATGCTTGACATTACCTATTCTCATCAGGGTGGTCTTGTCTAGTGAACCTAGGTTGACAAATATCTATGAACAGACCCTACGATATCAGGAATTTTTCCCTGAAATTCCTGATTTTCAGCCTAGTTTTGTGTACCTACACTACACTGATTTTTCAGTGTTGAGATTTTTGTGACACTAATTTTTTCAGCCTTTACTTCATAGCTAACACTGATGTTTCAGACTTTTATCGAGTGTACACTGAATGCACATTCCTAATCCTTCCCGTGAAACACCCGAACGATTGAGTCAACCAACATTTCCACATCTAAATATATAAATACATAAAAGACAATTTGCTGACAGGATGAACTGTCTCAGAGGTTGGGGAAATTAAATTTGATTGGAAACATTACCAGTTCGAATCTTAGCTGACAATCAGTAGTGTTTCCGCATACAAATTCGGGCTCATAATTTTACTAACCCTGAAAATTCAGGCTTTTTTTTCTAGGAGCCCTGAAAATTCAGGCTTTTTTTCACAGGGGCCCTGATGCATCAACGTCCCTAAAAGTGAATCTGAGGGCCTGTCTATGAACCACTACTGTGTCGTTTGCCATTGCAACTGAGAATTATGTAGGACTGACATGAAAGCATTTTGAGATGCCTGCTTTGTTGGGCTGAAAAGCCCTAGGATCTTTGTAGAGTTCAAGTCTGAGTAAGTGATGTAATAGCGGAAGCGTTGAATAAAGTCCTTAAACCACCTGTCAGAGGTCCACTGATGATCCCCGATTGATCCTAGGGAATGGTTACAGGCTCGTTGTCCTGGGGGGTTATGGGCGCACTGACCCGCTACTTAACAAGCCATTTTATCCCAATAGTCTAGTGGTTGGGATTCTGACATGGTATCAGAGCGGTCTCGGGTTCGAATCCCGGTGTATGCACTTCGGGCATCCCAGTGCGGGGGGGTGTCAGAGGTCCACTGGTGATCCCCGATTAATCCTAGGGAAGGGTTACAGGCTCGTTTTCCTGGGGGGTTATGGGCGCACTGACCCGCTACTTAACAAGCCCTTTTATCCCAATGGTCTAGTGGTTGGGATTCTGACACCACCTTGCGCTAGTATGTGAGGGCAAAGTAAGTTGATTAAAGCAAAGAGATACAGGAATAAATATATGAGTACAAAGAATATGAAGAGACATTATGACTACTTTACTGTTGCGGTTCGATACAGTGCGACTCGGGCAACTGCTCAATGTCGAGTCAGTTGTGTGTCCTTGCTGTCGCGCTGCGTCAGGTCAAAGGTCGCTGACCTTTGACTTTCTCGTAACTGTCAAAATTAGAAGGAAGAAAGAGGAATGAACTAGCAGAAATGGGGATACAAATAGCAAACCCTAGAAGGGTTGTACTCGCTATAGAGCACCCCACTACAGGCTAGAACATAAGAATAATATTCTGACACACCCCCATAGCCAAAGTGGGGTGTAATCAGCAGAGCAGGCAAAGCAAAACAAGCTCAGGGTGGATCACAATGTCACCACACATTCTGAGCACAAGTTCAAGAAGAAATAGTTTAGAGTTCACAATTATAAGCAAAGCTAGTGGTAGTCACAACGGGCAAGTGAGGAGGAGGAGGGAGAGTGAGGGGAGAGGAGACAGGAGGCGACGGCTGAAGCTGCAGACACACGGGCAACAGGAGGCAGACTGGCACAGCGGCTACCGGACAGCGCCCGGACTACAGGAGTAACAGGCCCCGCGGCTCAAATAGCGGCGGACGGGCAACGGACCCACGGGCGGCTGGCACAGCTGGCTACGACAGGGCTACCGGGACAGCGCCCCGGACTACAGGTGCTGCGGACGACAAGCCGGCAGCCTCCGCTCAACCTCCCGCAAACAGTCCCACCCCCCTGATACACACCCACTGCTACACCGCTAGCTCTGTCAGAACATATAGCTTACTTGTTTCTGTAGGCTATAGTGGGGTATCCCATAGGGGGTACAACCCAAATTAGGGTTTCCTATTTGTACTCACTTCGTTCATAGTCATTCCCATTCTCGTTCATATCTTCTCATGGAATCAGAGCAGGTCCCTTCCTAGGGACTGTTCCTAGGGCCCACCGAAGCGCGCCCCGAGGCGCGCGTTTTTTTTTAGCGACCCTCCGTGTCACCCTTACCGCCGTGCTCCCACTTAGGCCCCTCGCCGGCCCCGCTTAGGCCCCTCGTCGGCCACGCTTAGGCCCCTAGTCGGCCCCGCTTAGGCCTCGTCGGCCCCACCTAGGCCCTGTCGGCCCCGCTTAGGCCTCGTCGGCCCCGCTTAGGCCCCGCTACGGCCCCGCGTCGGCCCCGCTTAGGCCCCGTCGGCCCGCCTAGGCCCCGCTACGGCCCCTCGTTGGCCCCGCCTAGACCCCGTCGGCCCGCCGTAGGCCCCGCTCCAGCCCGCCGTCGGCCCCGCTATAGCCCGCCGTCGGCCCCGCTACAGCCCGCCGTCGGCCCCACTACAGCCCGCTGCCGGCCCCGCTACAGCCCGCTGTCGGCCCCGCCCCAGCCCGCCGCCGGTCCCGCTACAGCCCGCCGTCGGCCCCACTACAGCCCGCCGCCGGCCCCGCTACAGCCCGCCGTCGGCCCCGCTACAGCCTCGCTACAGCCCCGCTACAGCCCGCCGCCGGCCCCGCTACAGCCCCGCTACGGCCCACCGTCGGCCCCGCCGCCCGTGCTGCAGCCCGCCGCGCCACCGTGCAGCCGCCCGTGCAGCCGCCCACCGTGCCGCCCGTGAGCAGCCCCAGCCGCCCGTGAGCCGCCCGTGCAGCCGCCCGCGCCGCCCGTGAGCCCCTGCGTCACCCGAGCCGCGCGAGCCGCGCGAGCCGCCCGAGCCGCCCGAGCCGCCAGTGGAGCCGCACTCCTGCTCCTGTGGGGCCACTGCTGCTCCTGGGCTGTGTTACAGTGCCACTGACCTACCCGACTTTTCCTACCCGGTGAGATTGTCAGCTGCTGTCATGGCCACCCCCACTATCCTAGCTTTTGACGCTGAGGGTAGAGCCATTGACTTTGCAGTCTGGATTGAAGACCTGCAGCTGTACTTACTGTGTGATGCGATAGATGAGGTCTCTCTCTTTGACTTTGTCTCTGGAGCTGTCCCTGCCCCTCCTGCTGATGCTGACCCCGCCGTTCGCTCCAAGTGGGCGACCCGCGATGCTGCTGCACGTCTTGCTGTGCGTCGCCACCTCCCTTCCTCCGAGCGTGCCCACTTTAGTCAGTGCAAGACCGCTCAGGCCTTGTACGACGCTGTAGTTGCACGCTACTCCTCCCCTTCCTCCGCTACGCTTAGCCGCCTCATGCTACCGTTTCTCTTCCCTGACCTCGCTGCCTTTCCCACTGTTGCTGACCTCGTTACCCACCTCCGCGCTAGTGACGCTCGCTACCGCGCTGCCCTTCCTGCTGAGTTCCGCGCCGCAAACCCTCCTCCCATGTACATCACTCTCTACTTTCTCGTCACTCGTCTCCCTGAGTCCCTTCGTGTAGTTAGGGACCAGTTTCTCTCTGTCTGTCCCACCACCCTCACTGTCGACCTCCTTGAGGAGTCCCTACTAGCGGCTGAGAAGAGCATCGTCGCTGTAGGGGCCTCTCGGGGTGACCCTCGCACCCCCATTTTTGAGGGGTGTTCTCCTTCCCCCCTGCTGCCCTCTGTCGCCTCTGCCGCTGCGGCCGACCTTGCTGGTTTTGAGTCGGTCGGTGCGGCGTCTACCCCCAGCGGTAGACGCCGCAATGGCAAGGGCAAAGGGGGCAAGGGAGCGGGTGGAGCTAGAGGGGGCGGTGGCGGGGGAGGTGGGGGTGGCGGGGGGAGTGGGGGTGGCGGTGGAGGTGGTGGCGGGAGTGGAGGTACTAGTGGAGGCGGTGGAGGCGGAGGTGGCGGCGGAGGAGGTAGCGGAGGAGGCGGGGGTGAGGGTGCTAGTGGGGGCGGTGGCGGTGGAGACGGGGGTGGCGGTGGAGGCGGGGGTGGCGGTGGCGGCGGGGGTCGGGGTGGCTCGTCTCAGCGGAGCAGCTCTGGGGGTGGTCAGCGCCAGCAGCAGCAGCAGCAGCAGCAGCAGCCACAGCAGCAGCAGCGCTCTCGCACCGTCCCCGCCCCTCAGCAGCTCCGTGAGTGGTACTTGCAGCGTCAGCGTGGTGGTGCGTTTGGTCCCTGCCCCTACGTTCTTCGCACCGGCGACCGTGCGGGGGAGAGGTGTGGAGGCACCCACACAGCCCGCCGCTGCTTTGGCCGCCTGACCGACGCCTGGCGTCAGCAGTTTCCGGAGGCCGTTGAGATCCCCCGCTGGGGGGAGCTGTCTAGGGCTGGTGTAGCTATTTATGATCTTGACTTTGATGCTATTCTTTCTGCTATGTATGTTGTGACTGGTAGTGATGAGGATGACTGTTACCGGTGTTTCCCGCCCGACCCGGGCATTGGTACTGCTGCGTCAGGTACTCGTGAGGCTGCTGCTCTAGGTGCCAGTGCGTCCGTGCTCTCAGGTACTGGTGAGTCTGCCCTCTCAGGTACTGTGTCGGCTTCGGCCTCTCACACCTTCACCCTTGACTCTGGAGCGTCTCGCTCCTTCTTTCGGGACCGCACCACTCTCACGCCGCTGAGTCGGCCGGTTGCGGTGTCCTTGGCTGACCCCTCTGGGGGGCCTGTCCTGTCTCGCTTCTCCACGGTCCTTCCGTGTCCGGCGACCCCCTCTGGCACCCTGTCTGGTCTCTACCTCCCCTCGTTCTCGACGAACCTGGTGAGTGGTGCTGACCTACAGGATGTGGGTGTCCACCAGTTCACTCCTGCTCGTCAGCGGGTG